CGGGCACTCACGCCCCCAAACCGCTTGCGCAGGTTGAGGGCGTGAGTGCAGGCGGATGCCGCAGCGTCCGGGTCTGCCATTGGGATCGGGTCCCAGATGAGTGCGGGCGGACACCGCAGCCGCCCCGCCGGCCCGCGTAATCGGGTCCCGGGTGACCGCTGGCACTCATGCCCTCAACCTGCTCTCCGATGGCGCTGTACCATCCTGCCTGCAAGATGCAAATTAGCCGCCATCTTTTTTGGTGGTTAACTGCTATCTTAGTTGGCAGTTAATTTGCATATCTCGCTGATTAGCCAATGAAAAGGGTATCGGTCGTACGCCAATTACCATTTTTGTCTTTTATTAGATAGGATAAGTAATTTATTTCTCTATAAAATTAAATTTATTTGAAACACTAGTTTGCATTTATATGTACTTAAAAACTTTGTGTTTTTTTCTTTCAGGAGGTTGAACTGTCCAATCTCAAAAATGAACTTTCGTCTATTAAGAAACAACTTGAAATAGAAAGAGAAGAAAAAGTAGGTTTTGTGACATTATAAAGTAACTAATTGTTAAGACCTGCTCTTAAGATATTTGAAACTAAGTAACATTTCTATAGAGAAGAAGTAATTCATTTTTCTATTTACTTTTTATTATTTTTATAAAATTTGTAGGTCAGTATTATTTTCTTGTTAATACTTCTTTGATAATAAGAACATTCATTGTGGTAATAGTAATAACTACATTATATGTACTTGATATTCATTTTTAATAGGAAAAACTCAAAAGACAGGCAAAAGAAAACACAGTTACTCTCAAAGAAAAAACTGACAAGGTAAGAGTTTTATATAATTTTTAGTTTTCTTTATAACCAATTCATTTTCTAACATTTACTTAGAAAATTTTTTTGTTCATAAGTAGGAAAAAAACATTTAAAATATGTCACACAATTTCATTTTCTAAATTGTTTCTTGCTATTATTAAAAAGCATTTGCTAAAAACCTTAAAGCAGTTGTCACTTGGCGATTTAGAGAAGTTTTCAGCCTTCTATAATTTTTATTACAGTATTATCTTAAATTAGGTACCTTTGTGTTTCTTGAGAATTTTCTAATGTTAGAGGCAAAATATTTTCATCAAAAATTCTAAAGCTTATATTTAGATTATGTCTAGTTTTGGGTTTGAGAGGGCTAAATAAATGACATCCTGCTTTTCTTAAGTCTGAACCAATTGAGAAAGACAATGAAAACCAAAATAATATCTTTATTATTGATAAGTAATATTGGAGAATGTAGTTTATATTTGAAGGTAAGGGGATTTCTTAATCTTAAAATCCCAAATTAGACATATTTGTCTACTTTGTCACGGTAGATCTGAACTGGAACAAGTTATCCACTTAAAAATGGCTGCTCTTGTAAAACATGGCATAAAGGGGAGGAGAACAGAATGTGTGCTGCTTCTGGTACCCAAGAGTAAGCAGAAGGAAGGGTTTGAACTATTTGCCCAGTTTCTCCTTTCAAATTCACTAGTCCCATCAGCAGGTCCTCAAACTTTTTAAACAGGGGGCCAGTTCACTGTCCCTCAGACTGTTGGAGGGCCGGACTGTAGTTTAAAAAAAAACTATGAACAAATTCCTATGCACACTGCACATATCTTATTTTGAAGTAAAAACAAAACAAAACGGGAACAAATACAATGTTTGTATTTGCATGTGGCCCGCAGGGCCTTAGTTTGAGGACCCCTGCATTAAGTCATTGTTCTTCCTCTAAGGAGAAAAAGGTTAGGGATGTTACCCTAGTGGTTGCTTCCTACACATGGAAGGAAGCATGAGGTATGTGGAAGAGCGATATCCCTCTGCTTCTCACACATTACAGAAGAATTCTAAATGCAAGTTTTAATGATTAAACAGTCTTTCTACACAGTGATATAGTCAGTCCTAAGTCCCCACAGAGGTTGCTTTTGACTATAAACCTAAAGTGACAGTAGTTGACAACAGTTGAGTTTTAGGTATCCAGCATTCTCCAACCGGTGGTCCGTGAGCTCCGAAAGGTTGGTAACTGCTGGATATAACAATTTTGTTATATTTGGATTCAAAGAAAGAGAAGGAAAGAAATATTATACCTGTGGGTGAATATTGAATGCTTCATATGTTCCAAATACTGTGGTAGGCACTTGAAAAAATATTTGGAGAAATTATTGTCATATTAAAATTAGCCAGCAGGATTAGGTAATGGTCTAAGGGAAGTGTCAGACAAAGATAAATAAATTGGTTAAACTCTAATATTTATTTCCAAATATAGAATGTATTCATACTATGCAGGTATATATCCCATATTGTTATAAAGTTGTTTTGACTCATGTATAATTCCAGTAATATATGCCTATTATTTATATTTGTTATCAAGTAAATTAGTAAATACCTTATATTGTATCTGGGGGTCTGGATATATATGGCAAATAATGAGAAAATGAAAAAAGAAATAATTTAAATATGCTTTTATTTTCTATATTTTATTCCAAAATTATGGAAATACCACAAGTCTTTATATAATAATCATTAGGCTTATCAAACATGTCTGAATTTGGGCAAGTTACTTAACTTTCTCATGCCTCAGTATTCTCATTTATAAAGGGGTAATAATAATAACTATTTCCTAAAGTTGTTATGAGGATTAAGTGAAATAGTATTTGTAAAGCATTTAAAATAGTGCTCAGCACACAGGAAATACCATATAAGTGCTTAAAAAGTACAACAGAGAAAATCATGAATGTTCTGAATATATGCATCACTGGACATATAACATTTAGAAAAGAAGGTAACTTGTAGGAAAGTGCATACATGTCCATGATGTATTACGAAGAGGGTTATTTCAGTATTCTAGAATGAGGAGGGGCAGTTGCATTTTCTTTTCGGCTACCAGGCTATCCAGGAAATGTTAATTCTCAGACATGGCCACATGGTGGTGTAGTTGCCATTATCAGTCCTTTTTGGGGAGAAACATTTGTCCATGAAAGCAGTTACATTTTGGAGACTACTGATGAAGAAGAAGAACTTTGTTTTCATTAAAATTGTGCTATCAGCTATGATGTATAAATGTTTAGGAAAAGAATGCAGAAGTGCAACTGTGAAAAAATATTACTAAGATTCATACCTACTGGAAAAATGACTATAAAAGTGAGATCACTAGGACTAGTCAAGAAACCTACAAGTCACCTTATTTAGCTCCTTGATTATATAAATGGATAAATTTAAGCCTGGAGATACTTAGTGACTTAGTTAAAATCACCTAGCAAAGCAGTAAAAGTTCCTGGAGAAAAGAGCATACTTGACTCGTAGTTCAGTGTTTTTTATAGTACTTGTGGTCATGTCATAGTCCTGCACTCTGTACCCTGTACCCTCCTAATTTGAGTAATGATCTATTCTCACTGCAGATTCAACCACCAACCTTTTGAAAGTTTAGCCTCCCCCACCTTTTGGTTGTTGTGTTTGTGCTTCATTCTTTCTTGTGAGTGGTTGCCTTGATTGTATTCATGGATATGATGGTGACCAACAAAAGTGGTAAAATAGAAAGTAATAGGCATAAGTTTCATGTAGGGTTCCACTAGAGCAGCTATTGTTTCTAGCTTTTACTGGAAAGCTATGTCAGGTGCTGAGGGAAAGATATATAAAGGTAGAGAGAAAGGAAACCAAATAAATTGAGTTGAAATAATATCTAAGTATTTAGAGTAAATTTGCATTTTGTTTATTTTCAGAGTTGAAGCAAATAGCTACTTTATCATTTTTTTCTGACAATTTCTGTAGTTCTTTATTATCATAATTTTTGTTCCCTCCCTTTTTTTGAGGGGAGTGAGGTTGGTGGATAGGAAAAAACTGACATTTATTAATAGATAAGAGAAGATATGAAAGCATAAAAGAGAATGAATGGAAATGAGAATAAATTGCCCTCTAGTTTTTAGACTATTAGAATGAACCACGGATTAAGGCATTTTGCCACCAGGAATAGAGATTTTTCTCTATAGAATCCTCAGTTTTCGATCAGATAGAGTTGAGATATCGTCTTTGTTTTCATAGCAGCTCTCTGAAGACAGGAAGGGGCAGATACCATTTTCATCTTAAATAGGAAAATGAACTGACCAAAAATGAATTATTTAATTTAATCAGTATGTCATTTATTCAAAGTTATCTAGTCAATAATAAATTTGGGGGTAAATTTTAGTTTATTCCTGTGTTATTTCTACTAGTTGCTACATTGTAATTAAAATGACATTTAACGATTTTATTCATTTCTATTGTCTAATACAGAAAATACAGACATCTTTATCGGAAACACTTACAACCAGTTATCGGAAATTTGATCCTAAAGTAGCTCCTTCACAAAATGTATCTCGAAACTTCACATCAGCTGATTATGGCAAACTCAAAGAAAAAAAAGACAATCTGAGGATACCTGCCAAAAGTATTTTATCTGAACCATTACCAAAGGTTGGTTGTTAAAATTTCAAAAGAAGTAGTAACTTTTTAATTAAAAAAGACAGTTTGGTGTTATAGACCACATATCTAGTATCAGACATATTAGTAGATATAAAGCCAATTTTGTAAAAGTTTCAATTTTTTGTGATACCAACATGAAATGTGTTTGTTTGTTTTCTGTCACTGCCCACAACTTAATGGCATCTTGGTAGTTTTCATAACTTTCTAGCATTCACCAATGCATAGGTCCCTGATGTGGGAAAAGTATCTCCACCTGTCTCTACCCCTCTAAGCTAAAATATCATGTCTTTTTCTCCCAATTTCCTTAATATAACTGGGAATAAGGAAGTTTGGTGATTGTAGGGCTTGCTTTTACGTAAAACACTTTTTAGTAAGCCCCAGAGAAGGAAGGACCTGGCCTTAATTATAGGTCACTTTGTTTAGAATATCTGTTACTAGCACTTTCCCCCTCAACTGTGTGCCCCTGTAAACAATTCCAGAGCAAAAGGAAGAGTTCCACGCATATGCTGTTATATATACACTAGAGGCCCGATTCCCGAAATTTGTGCAAGGGGCTTGGCCCTTGCAGCTGCAGCAGCTTGCCTCAGCTCTCGCAGCCCTGGCTTTATCCGGAAGGTCGTCTGGCTGTCTGGTCTAATTAGCATATTATGCTTTTATTACTGTAGATTATCTAACTCATAGAAGCTATGGAAATTAATTTACATAGCTCAGAGAGGCTTTTATATAAAGCTATTTTGTTTTACTTACTACTATATTATTCAGAATATGAAATGATTTCTATTGAAGAATGACCTTACTTTAAAAAACTTTTAATTGGCAGCTCCTTTTTGATAGGAATGCAGAAGTCTGAGGTGAGCATTCAGGTCATAGGCATCTTTTTAGATATATAACCATAAAATATTTTAAAATCTGAAAAAAACACAAACTTTTAATTGAAATATATGCAAGAACACATAGATCTTAATTATACAACTTGATGAATTTTTACAAAACCAAACATAACCTTATAACCATCACTCAGATTAAAACATGAAATGTTATCACCTCAGAAGAGCTTCTTATTCCCTCTTCCAGTTACTAGCACTCCCCCAAGGCCAACTGTTTTTTTCAGTAATACTTTTAATTACATGATTATAATTATACAATTTCTACTATTCAGTATTTTGTATAAAACCAGTTACAATAAACATGATTTTCAAATGTGACAATACTTACCAGACTACATAGATGTGCAAAGTTTACTTGCCATTATGAAACTTTATCTTAAAAATAACTTCAGGAAAATAAACATGCAACCAATTCTCTCAGCTTTATAAAATATGATTAGAAATATACATTTTAATTAAAAAAGACAATGATCAAATACTGAATAATCAGTTACATTTTAAAACTTTTACTAATCTATACATGAGTACAGGTTAGATAAAAGTATTAATATAAAACTTCAGTACTATAACGAGATGGATATATCTTCTGACATTTAATTCTAGGCAATTGAGATAATTTCCTACACAGTTCCAACTTCCAATATTAGATGTATTACCTCTTTTTGCATTTTCTATAAATAGAACTATATAGTTTTTGCTTTTTTTCACTTAATATTATATTTGTGGGTTCATCCATATTGTTGCTTGAAGTTGTAGATTATTTTTTTCTATATAGTATTTCATTGTGTGTCTGCACCACAGTTTATCTATTGTGTTATTAATAGACATTTGGGTAGTGTCCAGATTGGGTTTTATGTTAGTGTTGCTATAAAAATCCTAGTACTTAACATGTAGGCTGGCTGTCTCCAGGAGTAAAATTGCCCATGTAAGGGTTATAGGCTTGTGCATAATGCATTCCATCTTAATAGATACTGCCTGAGTTGTTTTTACTCTGATACAAAATGTATGTGTGTGTTTCTTATACTTCAGTTCTCTAACTCTTCAGACTCTAACTGGGTATCCTATAATTTGATTGAATTCTGACACTAACTACCTGGACTTAATGTAGACCCCCCCAGATTAAGGGCTCAATCCCACAAGGCTCCCACTTCAGATGGCAGTCACAGTCTTGGCTTGCCATCATTTGTACTCCTGACCAGCTGGCTATAAATTGGGGCTTCCTATAACCCCCTCCTCAATTTGCTAGCATGACTCTCAGAACTAAGGAAGTTACTCACTATTTCCAGTTCATTATAAAGGACACAACTCAGGAACAGCCAAATGGAAAAGATGCATAGTAAAAAATGAGACCAAGGAAGAAATCAGAAATTATCTTTAGACAAATGAAAACGAATACACAACAGTCCAAAACCTATGATACACAATGAAAGCAGTCCTAAGAGGGAACTGGATGAAAGGAAGGTGAAGAGATTAGCCAAAGGACATATATGCAAAACCCATAGACACAGACAACAACAGTATGGTCATGGCCAGAGGGAAGGGGAGGCGGTAGCTAGGTGGAGGTGGCCAAATACGGAAAATAGGAAGATATTTGTAATAGTGTCAACATTAAAAATAAAGAAAAAAATTTAAAAAATAACATTTATATCGACAAAGTCCAATGACTAGGCTTCCTTAGAGACAGATTCTGTTGATCATCCCTCATTCTCCCATGTAAAGGCCATAATTTCTTGGTTTTTGTTTTTTTTCATGTCTCATTTTTTTCTTGAAATCTGAAAATTAAAAATAATATAATGTGAGCTCTGGGAATCAGATTCTACCTTCTCCACTGGGTTTGTTGTTGCTTCTGCTTGTCATAGTTGTTATTGTTTGTTTAATGACCTTTCTAAACTAATCCTGTAAAGTTTGTATTCTTTTAGTGCCATTGAAGTCTGTACATGGTTAGCTTTATGTTCAGCTAATGTTTGAACAGATATCTCCTTAAAAACTTGTACCAACAAATCTCCCAAACGTTGCCATGGACTATTTGTTAGGGCATGCCTTTAGCACTCCACTAGATAGTTGACAACTCAGTCTTAGCCTTCAATTCCTGCTTTTGCAGACCCTCAGGATCTGACAGAGGTAAGAGCTTAGGGCCTTTTTAGGTCTTTACTGTGTTTACTCACAACCCTATGCATGTGCATGGCTTTCTATATTTTCAGGAGTATGCCAGAGCTTTTCAAAAACCCTTTGGACATCTCATTTATAAGCTGTATTCCTAAATTTTTGTGTAATCTTATCATTTACCCCAACTGATAGTCCTTGTCTTAGTGAGCTCAAAGTTAAAACACTTCCCTGTAATTGTTTTTGAGAAATGCTACTCCCTAATCTACACACACCAAGTTGAAAGTTTTTTTTGTACTGAGTGAGCTCTGAGTCAGGTCAAAAACAAACTGCCTTGTAAGTGAGGTCTTCCAGAGAACCACCATACAAGTCAAATAAGGACAGCCCTTTGGGAATACAGTTTTGAAAGAACCCCTAGTTCTGTTCTGCTCTGTCTAAGGCTGCCAGGCTGAACCACGAATGTGGGCTGTTATTTTTTTAAGGGTAACATAGAGCTCGAGGACAGAGGATGGGACAAGGAAAAGTTAATGGAAAATATCTCTAGGTTATGGCAAGCTTTGGTTAATTCCAAGAGTTCTGAAAAAGCTGTCACCATTTTTTAGCAGTATTTTCTTTGCTTTGTGAGAGAGCGAATTTTCGGAGCTTTTTACTCTGCCATTTTTGCTAATTTCGCTGACCTTACTTTTTAAAGATACTTTAAAAAATTATAAAACTTACAGGGCAATATGGAATAACAAACATTGACTATGTGAATTACTTTACCAACAAAAAACTGGCAAACTTATTTTCTTATAAATAAGGATTTTTGTTGAGAGAGCAATGCTCACTCAATTTTTGGTTTTAATAATTGCTAGAAAAATTAAAGCCCCTCTTAAGATTGGTGATGGTTAAAACTAGTGTTTCTTTCTCTTCCTTTTACTCTCTCCCTCTTCACCCTCTAATATCTTCTTCAGTAAGTTCAAGGGATGAAGAAAGTTATAAAAGTTTTATTACCAAGAACATCTAAATTAAATTCTTATTCAAAATTTATACTTCATAAACATGCCAACAATAATGGAGACTTATTGATTACTAAAGACTCAACTTGCCTTTATTAATAACGTATGTTTTATTTGATGAAATAATGTGTTGTTTTTCTTTTTGGGTAGGCATATACTGTGAAGACACCAACGAAACTAAAAATTCAGCCAAGAGAAAACAAGAATGCACCCACTGAAGAAGATACTAAAAAGAGAAAAATGGTCTTTGAGTTTGATGTTAACTCAGATAGTTCAGAATCTGCTGATCTTCTGGTAAACACATTGCAAATAATCAGTATTTATTATTTGTTTACATTATTGTGTACTTTATTTCTTGATAAAGAAATATATTATTTATCAATACTAAATAAGTAGAACTTTACTATAACAGAATCTTATGCTTTTACAGAATTAAAGAAATTAGGGTTTAAATAATTTTAGAAAACATTGCATTTTGAAATACGTGATATAACATAGTTGCATTTGAAATAATTAACCATATTGTTTTCCAACAGTGTTATAAAGGAGCTTTTACTGCATTTTCTTTTCTTTTCAAAAAAGAAAGGTTAGCCCTAGCCAGTTTGGCTCAGTGAATGGAGCTAGTCTACCTGGATTTGAATCCTGGTTCCATCTCTAACTAGTTACATAATCTTGAGCAAGTTACTTAATATTTGTGTCTCAGTTCCTCCCCTATTTAAAATGAGGATAATAGTATACCTACTTCACAAAATTGTATTAAAACTAATTAAAATATGCAAAGTGCTTAAAACAGTGCCTGACATAAAGAAAGTACTAAATAAGTGTTAGCTATTATTATTTGGGAGGATTACAATACTCATAAATTGATAACTGATATTTTAATTTTTATGTGATTATAAATGCTTCCTATATAGGACTTAAGTGTGAGTTGAGTAAGTAGACTGGGAGTAAGGGGAGGAGAAAGTGGTAATAAAAAGACTCTGAAACTGAAATAGAAGTTAGAAAAATACTATTCACACGCATCTTGTATTTTACATAACCTTTCAGGAATATAGTTAATAGGATCAAAATTTAGGTCTTCGACAGAATGAGGCTATTTTGTCATAGTCTTCTTTCTTCAGTATTCTTTTTTTTCTTTTTCCTCCCTCTTCCCTCTTCTTTCTTCCTCCCTCCTCCTTCACCTACCCCTCCTTCTCCCCTTCGTATGTGGTATGTAGACAAAATTTTAATAATGTAATATTTATGATGGCAATACCCAAGTTATATTTTTGTTTTTTCTTTAAGACCATGGTTTCAGAGGAAGAGACATTGAAAAAGCTATGCAAGAATAATTATTCAACAACTTCTCATTTTTGTGTCAGAACACCAAAAAAGGTAACTTACAAATTTATTTCAGAAAGCACATTTCAAAAGCTGGACTTTAATTTTTTAATTAAACATATTATGATTTTATTTTGAATTCAGACCCCTTCATCTCTAACAGCCCTTGGATCTGCGCCGAAGTTTGGAGCTTTGAGGAAAATGCGGGAGGACCGTTGGGCTGTGGTTGCTAACGCGGATAGGAGAAAAAAACTAAAGGAAGCAGAAAGGCTCTTTGTTTAATTTCAGAAAATCAGTGTGATTAAGGAGGCTAATAACAAAATTCATAGTTAACTTTTTTCACTTTATAAAGAGCCAATTTTTTTCTGTAATTGAGGCTTTTTAATGTTTGCATACATTATTTGTTTATATTTTAGTGTAAATGTGAAATAACTACATGTTATTTGAAAAATTGTCATTGTATTCAGGTAATTAGATGATTATATTTTGTTTTTACCTTTTTTTGGTAGTCATGAAAACTGTTTTGGCTAAGTTTTCAAATTATAAAGTTAGCCATTGAATGCTAGGAATAGACTATTGAGATTTTTAATTTTTTACTGTTAAAATATTTTGAATGCAAATAAATGCTTCTTGATTCTGTAGATAGCAGCTTTACTTACTATCAATTATCTGTATTGTTTAAGAAAAAATTGAAAGGAGTTTAACAAACAGATTTTGTTTCAAATGGCAGATTATTCTAATGTGAATCCTATAGGTAATTCAGACTTCAGATGGATAAACTGATTTTTAAAAAAGTATCTGTTGCACAAGATTTCACGGAAGTAGAGCATTTTGCAAGCTACCACACTCACTCTCTGAGAAGGCTAAAATATTAAGTCTCATTCTAGACAGCTAATCATTAAAATTTTGATAATACTAGTTTATAAAATTGACAATTTTTTTAGTTGCTGGAAAAGGCTATACCAGTATAACTTCCAAAATTACTTCACTTAGCCAACATTCATTGTTGAATATAGATTGTCTACCTAAGGGTGAAGCATAGTTCTAGATCAGTGGTTCTCAACCTTCTGGCCCTTTAAATTTCCTCACGTTGTGACCTAACCATAAAATTATTTTCGTTGCTACTTTATAACTGTAATGTTGCTACTGTTATGAATTGTAATGTAAATATCTGATATGCAGGATGGTCTTAGGCGACCCCTATGAAAGGGTTGTTGGACCACCAAAGGGGTCTCGACCCACAGGTTGAGAACCGCTGTTCTAGATACTGGGATACAACCATGAGCAAAACAAAATAAACCCTCTGTTCTTCTAGAGCTTACATGTTAGTGAGGGAAATAGACAATAAGCAGAATAAATAAATGAAACATATAGTATACTAGTTAATGGTAATTGCTAAGGAGGAATGAGACAGGGCAGAGTATTAGGGAGCATGAAAGGGGTTGAAATTTTATGTAGGGTGGCCCTCACTAAAATGACAGTTGAATAACATGTCTGTGGCTATCTGGGGTAAATATTTTTGGCAAAAGAAACAGGAAATACAAAGGCCCAGAGATGGGGGTGTGCCTGATATATCTGGGAAGCAGCAAGGAGGCCACCATGGCTGGAGGATAATGTGCAAAAGGGAGAGTAGAAGGAGAAAAGGCTTGATAATGAACAGGATGGGCGTGCAGATTATGTAGTGCTTGTAAGCTGCTTTAAGAGCTTTGGCTTTACTCTGAATAAGATGTGAAATCAGTAGATTTTTTTGAGCAAAGAAGAGCCATGATCTGACTCAGGTTTTAGCATATGGATCTTTCTTTTTGACCACTATGTTGAAAACATTATGTAAAGGGGACAAAAGACAAACAGAAAATAGGTTTAATAATGCATATGAGAGCTGGTAAGTGACTTGAACAAGGGTGACAACAGCAGGGGAATGAAGTGGTCAACTTCTGGATTCATTTTGAAAATTAGATGTGAGATGTGATAAGAAAGAGAAAGGACAAAGATAGCTTCAGTATTTTTGCTTGAGCTGTAGTTTTGGACATGTTAGGTTTGAAATGCTTATTGGACATCCAAATAGAGATGGTAAGTTGGCTTAGAGACAATTCCAGGGTAATGGTATACATTTGGGAGCCAACAGCATGTTTTAAGTTAGTGAAGTAGTCCAGGTGAGAGAAGGGAAAGTTTCTTAGAGTGTAAGTTTAAGTTCCAAACTTTTAGATTAGATCTAACACCTGTCCTAAGAAAAATATCCATAACTTTATCATTCTACTCCTAAAATGTCTCCTTCATGTAAATGTAAAAATTAATGATGTCAAAGAGCAAGTTGCTTTGGTTGATATAAAGGTTAGAAATAAATTATTCATAATTCAGGCAACCTGAATTGAGTATAATTAATAGTCCACAGGCTTTAGTAGTACATCAAGAACTTTAATCAGGGCAGGTCAACTGTGGGTTAGAAATAGGAAATGACAAACAGGAGACAGATAAGACTTAACATTATTTAAGTTATGAAATCAGAGTTTAGAGTTGGAGGTAACTGAAAAAATCACTTAAACATCAGTAATTTGAGGCCTATAAAAGCAATAAAAAAGAAAGGGAAAAGATAGTTTTAAAAATGACTTAAATTCTGTATGCATATCCAAAATTTACATCAATACATAAATGTAACCATTTAAAATCTTAATACCTTCTTTCCCCCTTTTGCTTTCTCCCTTACCTACTCTCTTTTCTCCATACACATCAGAGTCCCCCTCCATCACATTCCCCTCTCCTAGTAACCTTTGAGAAGAACATGGAGGGTATCCTTTTTCCCCTCCATGATAGATTGGTAATAGATGTAATGTATTTAGTTAGTTGTATTTCTACATATGCAGGCATGAGTTTATTATAGTAGGCATATAGTGGGACCTTATTGTTTTAATTTTCATTTCTCTGCTGACATATGATGTGGAATATCTTTTCATAAGCTTATTTGCCATCTGTATGTCTTCTTTGGTGAGGTATCTCTACAGCCTTTTGTCCATTCTTAAATCAGGTTGTTAAGTTTTAAGAGTTCTTTGTATATTTTGGATAACAATCCTTATCTGATACGTCTTTTACAAACATTTTCTCCAGTCTGTGTCTTCTCATTCTTTTGACACTATGGGCTTTTTAGCTATATCTTCATTTTTAGTGGTTCTAGGATTTGCCATATACATCTTTAACTTATCATAGTTTGCCTCAAATACTATTATGGCACTTCACATATAGTGTAAGAACCATACAGAAATATATTTCTATTTCCCATTTCTGTCTTTTCTTGACATACGGTTTACTTCTATGTATTATAAATCCCACAATACATTGTTATTTTTGCTGTAAGTTGTCAATTGTCATTGTTTTAAAGTAAGGTGAAATTCATATAATAAAATTAAGCACATTAAAGCAAACATTTTTCTGGTATTTAATATGTCCACAATGTTGTGCAAACACTACCTTTATCTAGTTTCAAATAATTTTCCTCATCCCCAAGGGAATCCCTGTACTCATTAAGTTATTTTCCCTTATTTCCTACTTCCCCCAGTCCCTGATAAAATACTGGTTTGCTTTCTGACTCCATGGCCTTACCTATTCTGTATATTTCAAATTAGTGGAATCAGACTATACGTGATCTTTTTGTTTTTTAATCCTCACCCAAGGATATTTTTTTCATTGATTTTTTTAGAGAAAGTAGAAGAGAGAGGGAAAGACAGAAATATCCATGTGAGAGAAACACATCCATTTCTTGCCTCCAGCATGAACCCCAACCAGGGCTTGGGCCAGGGAGGCTTCTGTAACCGAAGTACATATCCTTGACTGGGAATTGAACCCGGACCCTTCAGTCCACGGGCCAACGCTCTATCCACTGAGCAAACCAGCTAGGGCTATACGTGATCTTTTGAGTCTAGCTTCTTTCACTTCATTTGTTTTTTTTAACACACATAGCGAAGGAAATTCACTGCATTACTAGTATTAGTTTATTATTTCTTGGCTTCCATAGATTAATTTATTAACAGGATTCTTTATTGATTTTTACATATAACAATACAGTGATTCTTTTAAAGTAAAAGGTGTATTAAACAAAGATGAGAAAAAAAATAATTTGTGGTGAGATTAATAACATTGTTGATTAGTTACTGAGAAGTGGTTACACGTGTTATTGTGAGTACAGTTAATACTGCTCATATTATTCAGCCAGAGAAATAATATCTAATTACCAAGAGGTTATATAAAGTAAGAAAAATAGAGTGAATGATACACCAAGGGATAGAGAAGCAAGTTTTGGTATACAGGAAAGAATACTTGATACTGATCTTTTGTAACACTTGAGTTTTATTACAGAATATGTTAGCAGTTCCTATTAACATTTATATATGATCCCAACTTAAAAACGTTTTGAAATGGAGAAAGCTTTTGTAAATTCATATGAATGTGGCATATTGGGGGCTTTAACTTATCAAAGGGAGAAGTAAATTGACATAATTTTATACATATTAAATTAGTTTTGTCTCTCCACTTGAGAGCTTCAAGATAATACAATGATTAATATGCACATTAGGTCCAACTCTACTTACTATCAATTATCTGTATTGTTTAAGAAAAAAATTGAAAGGAGTTTAAATAAATAGATTGTGTTTCAAATGGCAGATTATTCTAATGTGACTCCTACAGATAATTTATACTTCAGATGGGTAAACTGATTTTTTTAAAAAGTATGTGTTGCACGAGATTTTAGAATTTCACAGAAGTAGAACATCTTGCAAGCTATCACACTCTTTGAAGGAGGGTAAATATTAATAAATCTCATTCATAGCCAGTGCCATTCCTCTGTTTAGCTAATTGAATATTGAGGCTTTATTTTCCTTTTAAAAATGAGTCACTGCCCTAACCAGTTTGGCTCAGTGGATAGAGCCTCGGCTTGCGGACTGAAGGGTCCCAGGTTCGATTTTGGTCAAGGGCATGTACCTTGGTTGCGGGCACATCCCCAGTAGGGGGTGTGCAGGAGGCAGCTGATCGATGTTTCTCTCTCATCAATGTTTCTAACTCTCTATCCCTCTCCCTTCTTCTCTGTAAAAAAATGAATAAAATATATTTTAAAAAAAGAAAAAAATGAGTTACAGTTTTAATGCAATAAAAAGGCCATTGGGAAACTTTGATTTTAGTATGGCTTCATTGTAACTATAGAATATTAGAGCAGTTAATAATGTCTCTTTATCTAATTATAAACTCTGGAAATAGCACCTTCATTTCCACTTATTTATGCTTTTAATAAGTACTGATTGAACATCTAGTATGTGAAATAGTCTGGTTTTACTATTTATGGGGCCTACACTCTAGTTGGAAGGGAAAAAACAATAAATATGTAAACAAATAATATAATAATAGAAAGTTATAAGTGCTATGAAAAAGGAATGAATGAGATAGTGGGATAAAAAGTGTCAGGGGCAGATTTAATGGTCAGGGGAAGCTGTTCTGAGGAAGTCATTTTTAAGCTGAGATGATGAAGCCATTTGAAGATCTGGTGAAAGACGTCTTCATCATGAACAAATAGCACATGCGAAAACCCTGTTGCAAGAACAGGTTTAAAATATTCAAAGGAACATAGTAAGTAAAAGGTGGAATGAGACTGT